GGAAAATACCTTAAGATTGTCAACATTTTTAAAATATAACGTTTTACTACTTTGTTCAAACGATTAAAAAGAAGGCATCTAGATTTTCCAGCAACAAAACTGAGTCCAAAGAAAGAAAATATTCAGTTTGCTAGTATTTTATAGGAAAAACCAGGTTTTTCTATTTAGAGACAGTGTTCTTTAGAAATATTGATCTAAAAGTAAAGAAACCTCAGTTTCTAAGAGTTTTCCGAATAAATGATTATAAACTTTTGCTTTTTCAGTTCGGGGAAATATTTCTGGAAAAATACCCAGAAATAATTATTAGGGTTTTTTTAAGTTTCCAAACATTTTTGCGGTTAAGGAGGCGAGTGTTCCAATAAAATTTATCTAGTAATTTTTCACAGAAAATAACTGAAGATTGCAAGTATTTTAAGTACAATTAAAAAATAATGCAATTTTTGCGTAGAAATAATTGCTTAAGCGAAACTTTGTTAAAACTGGAATGACTTGACAATTTATAGGAACTTTAAAAGTCTTCAGAGCGATTTGTGGTTGGCGGCGAATTTTACAAATAATTTTTGTCATCACGTTTTTTAAAATAATCCTAATTACTTTCGGTAAAAAACTTAAAAATTATTTAAGTTAATTTAATTAATTTGAGTCAATTAAAATTAATTTGAAAAAATATTTTTTTGCATTTTTCGCTGAAATTATTGTCAGAAAAGAAGAAAATCATCAAAAAATAATGTTTTTAATAATGTTAACTTTTAGTTTTGTGATTGGTTTTGGAGAAAACCTTAATGGCTTTCGGGGAAAAATGGGAAAAATTCATTTTCGTTTTTGCCCGGAATTCAATGCTGAAAAAAGTTTTTGTAAAATTTTCCCAAAGCTATAAATTTATCTTTTGATTTTTCGCGTAAAAGACCTCCAGATCGTCAGTATTTTTAAGTGAAACTCTACAGAATGGAGCGTTTTTGAGTAAAAAGTAAAGCAAAAAATATTCAGTCAAAACAAAAAACCACTTTTGTTAACAAATTCTACAGTCTTCAGAGGAATGGAGGTGACGAGATTTCCAAATAATTTGTTATAAACTTTTGCTTATTTTGTTCGTCTTTTGGTAGA